GATACAAGATCACAAGAAAACACACGCATACCATAGTTAGTACTACAATAGTCAAGCACCACCCAAGGAGATCAATCAGCAAGCTTAGGGAAGTAGAGATAGGAGTGCTCGGGCACTCACGCTAGGACCCCGGCCACCACCGGTCACACCCCGAGCATCTCTTCTATAACACAACAAGCACCTGTACTTCCCACTTTTTTTGAGAAGTTGTACTTCTCACTTTGATATCAATAAGAATGGGACGTAGGAACTTACGCTATCCATGGCAGCCTGAACCTGTATAAAAATCCTTGTATCTCATGTGGATTTCTTTTGGGTGAAACAGAGCGTTTTAGCCTCTTGCCAAACTCACAAATACATGGTATCCTTGATCCCTTGTGTCCTGACTTTACACTCCGATAGTAGCATAGGCCACCTCCCGAAAATATGCTTTGGGTGCTCTCAAACATTCTGGCCAACCATTTCAACCACCAACTTTGCAAATTGCTTCACACACTTGATGTAAGTGCTCTCTTCATGAAGAAGTCATCCTACGAAGACATTAACACAATACTTTGCACTACAATCCCATCACAATCCAATCCTGTATCACAACAAAAAATAAAACAAATACCTTGAAGGTTTCCCATCGAGCAACAATGGGCACGGAGGTGAAGTCCGGACGGTGTAGCTCGCCATGAGCGAGGCAGTCGTCAGGCCGACAATGAATGAAATGGGAACGTACTTGCTGCCGCCGGACAGTGGGGGTTGAAGCAAAGCAGTTGTCACCTCACCAGCCGATAGCCGAGAGCTCAGAAGGAGCAGCAACTCGTTGATTTATTTTCTTTCGATAAAGGGCGATTTTATTAACTGAAAATGTAGCATCAAGTGGATACAAAGCATTATGAGCAGCACTCAGCCTCTGCATAATTAGGATGCACACAGCCGAACACCAAAAGTCTGACAACCAGAAGAAAACAAAAACCGACAAATCGGCAATAGTAGAGTCCTATAGACCAACACGGTGCCTATGTCGAAAGGTGAGATGGACCGATCTGAAGGTTATACTGCCACCCATGTTGGGTAAAAACCTCTGTAGCCACCTGCTCCAACCGCGTACACACCGCCTTGAACAGCGGTTGGACCTCCGCTCGTTGTAGCATAGACCACGTACGAAGAGAGTGCGTACAACGGAAAATAGCATGCAAAGGAGAAGCATTTTTGTCATTAAAAACAAAATTATTTCTACATAGCCAAAGCGACCATAGTAAGGCATACGCTCCCTTCCTTAATAGCGTTTTGAACCTATTTGAAATACCGTCCAATCAATGATCAAAAATATTGGCAACACTTGTGGGCAGATATAAACTTGACGCTATTTGGATGACTGGCCACATAGAACGTGCAAAGTTGCATTGGAAAAAGAGGTGTCTGATTGTCTCGTCATGAGTACAAAAACAATACTTCTTACTCCCTTGCCAATTACGCCGTGCGAGATTGTTTTTGGTTAGCACAACTCCCCTACGAAGATACCACATGAAGACTTTAACTTTTAGTGGTATCTTCAACCTCCAAATTTTCTTATTATTACTCACCGGCATCTCAGAATGCGTGAGCGCACAATACATAGAGTCTACAGTGAAAGACCCTGATGTAGTAAGGTTCCAGCAAAACACATTCTGACTTTCTGTCAGGCTAATCGCATCCAAACGGCATAAAAGATTATGCCATGACATAAGTCGGGGGCCAGTCAAATCCCGCCTGAACAAAATATTAGAAGGGATGAACTGAGCAATAGTATTATTCTTATCGCGAGCAATGTCACGGTGATGACAAGGGGAGGAGCTAATCAACTTCCACGGCGAGCCCCGGCATTGCAGCGGACATATCAGGCGGCGAAGGGGCAAGGGCGGCATTCGTTGCAAATCAGACAGCAACAAAACCCCAATTGGTGTCGGGGGTGGTGGCAGGCTCCAACGCAGCGAGAATGGGTGGCAGGGTGACGGCTTGGCCAGGGGTGGACGACAGACTCACCTCGGTGGGGGCTTGGCCAGGGGTGGACGACAGACTCACCTCGGTGGCGGGCAACAGCGAGAACCAGCCAGAATCAATGTGAGATGGCTAACTTCAGCGTGGTTGGCATTAACAATGTTAACATGGTTGTGTTTGGTTTTTGAGGCGACCAATAGGTGTTGCAAATATGCAGCACTTGGTCAAAATTTCAGGAATGCAGGAAAAAAGAAGAAAAATGGCGCCAAATAGAGATACATCATCTGTTGGAACAATGTTTTGCCTCCAAATTCCTTAAATGGCAGTTCTGTAACAAAGATACATCTGTTGGAACAATGTTTTTTTCTCCAAATGCCCCAAATGGCAGTTTTTTGGGCACAGCAGGGCGACCGTTTTACATCATGTGTTGGAGATGCTCTTATTGACAGTTGTCTTGCCACACAGTAAATATAAGAGGCTGGCAACAGAAGTCATGCAGCCTGGTCGAAATCGAAGTCATGCAAGCCACAAAATCATTGGTACTCTCTCCGTTCCTAAATGTAAGTCTTTGTAGAGATTCTACTATGAACTATATACGGATGTATATAGATGCATTTTAAGTGTGGATTCATTCATTTTGCTCCGTATGTAGTCCATCCAATGAAATCTCTACAAAGACTTACATTTAGGAACGGAGGGAGTAGAATTCATGTAATATACAGTCTACACTTTGACAAAGGTATAGCTAGCCAAGCTATTCAAGTTCCATCCTCACTTTTGAGGTTTTCAACCAGCAAATTCACTCAAACGAAGCGACCTTCTAAATAGACGGCGCCTTCTCCAAGCAGCCAAAACACACATCACAAAATGTGCACATTTCCTGCCAACCAGCTCAATGGATCAAATTACGTCTGCACAAAATGATGCTATTTCTTTCCATTGCTGGAGAAGAGCTTCTGTGCTGCACCATTCTTCCAAACACTTCGCACAGGCAACCCAGTTTGCAGGACTTGTGTCTCCCTTTCAGGTCGTTCAGGGCTCACATCAGGATGACTAAAATCAAGTGTAGCCAATGAGTTGTCACCCAACCGGGCTCTGAGAAACTTTGACGTCTTCTTCGATTGTTTGTTGTTACTGCTGCTGCTGCTGCTGCTACCGGTGCTTCCTCCACCCTTGCCCACATACCTACTAGTGCCAGACGCCTTTGAAATGGCAACTGGATCACCGTCTAGACACATCTTTGTACCACAGGATGACCCTCCAGCTGATAGTGGGATTTTTTCCTTGGAAGATCGATACCCATCCTTCGAAAGCACTGCAGCCTCTCCTTCTTGAGCCTTGTTGTTCGACTGAAGCTTTCTTACAGTGTCCATAAAGCTATCAGCTAGCGATTCACTTGCATCCTTAGCAGTAGCTGTTTCTGCATCAAGTGTTTTTCCCTTGCCCTTATTTTTACGCTTGTTCTCTTTCACAGTAATGGTTTCACAACCGCCATTTTCTTGGAGACTTTTAAAACGCATGTTGGTGTAATAGGCATCAGCAAGTTCCATCTGCTTCAGAGGATCAGGCAACAACTTAGCCATTTCAGGAACAAGATGTGATATACCAAACTGCTCCACATACGAGAGATACTCTGAAGTATCAATGACGCCTTGACGGTATTCACTTGCAATTTCTTTGAACGCGGAGAACCTATCCTCATCCATTCCTAATGCAACACGCATTCTTTCCACAAGGGATTTGTTTGCTTGTCGAACATCCTCCACAACAGGCAAAGGTTGGCTGCTTTGTGGTGGCAGTTGCTTTTTATTGCCATAAGCTGTACTTGATGATGCCTGGGCAGAGGACCCACCAGAAACAAAATTAGGGGTCGAAATAGAGTGCTTCATCTTGTTTGAAGCTCTGGAATTCCATGCTGAACCGCTGGAGGCAGATGGCATGAGCCCATTATCTCTTGTTGATTGAGTTACAATCCGAAGTTGAGAAGAACCAGAGAGATGTAGCCCCTGGTCAGGTGTAGGCCATGTCTGGGTGGAAGTGGAAACATGAGGTACTATCTCAGGATTTTCACCTGTTTGAGACTGAGCAGAATATAGTACCTTCACGGTGCCCTTACTACGTTGTTGCAGCCTTGATGCAAGTGTGTTCTTAGCAAGACTTTGCAGCCCCTGTTGTGTTGAAGCAGAACCCTTGTTACTTGACCCAGGCAATGGAGGGAATAATGATTCATCACCAAGCCTCGCAGAACCCCTTGAGCTCTGATTAAGAGCCAGCGCATACCTTGATTGCTGCTCTGAGACGGGAGGAAACAAGGTTTCATAGGGAACAGCATCAATCCTAGCATCAGGAATATCCTGGTCTTGAAGTGGAGGAAAAGACAACTGCTCGAGCACGCGACGATTCCCTAAGCTTCGACCAATTTCTGTTCGACTTCGACCAGAACTGGAACTGACACTTAATGACTGGAAAGGCCCTGCAACACTATCAACTCGACTTCCAAGGCCATGGTCTGCAGTTGCACTGCCATCCCGCACAGATAATGAGAAATCCCTGTCAAATCTGTCATGGTGAGCATTATGGCCCCTACCTCTGCCACGCCTTTGATCTTGCTCATTCCTTTGGTATATAAAACTGGTAGGTATCTGACAATGCCAGAATAGAGTATTTAGCCCAAAGCAATAGGAAACAGATAGAGATGAGCCAAACAATATTGGAACTAAATTGATGGCTAAATAAATGGAGGAGCTAAAGCACAAAAACGAAAGCAAGGAATAGAGAGGTCTTAAGAGAATGAACAAACCTGAAGTGCCGCATTCCTCTGGGCACGAGACATCCGCCCACCATGCTCCATAGCATTATGTCTCTGTAGAAATAAACTAGTAGGTCAGTACATAGACCCAGTGGCATGCCCCTTGGTAGTAATACACTTTAATACTACTAAAACAATAGCTTCAACTAAGCTTACCTTGATCTCTGCGTCACTCTGGAAGACAACAAATTTCTTGGCCAAACATGCATCATCTTCACAGAGGAAATGATCTTTACGAAAATGCATCTGAATTGAATTAACATCAAGCAATTCAATGAGAAAGTGACACAGATAACAAAGGAAGGTCACTAAACATAGACATCGATAAGAGTTAAAAGATATGGATTGATAAATATGGACAGGAGTCACGAATTACCTCTAAATCATCATAGTTCCGGAAATAATCATACTGCCCAGGATGCTGCCTGTAAGCAATTACAATGTCAGCATTTGTCACAAGTTTGCAACAATGAATTAGCTAAGGACATAGTTGCATAATACCTTTGACATATGTGGCACGAATAGTGTTCTCTGGACATATGTGTGTAAAGCTCATTATCTCCATATAATGGATATTTACAAAATTCACACACTGGGTGTCCTGCAAAACCACTGCGTTCAATCTCAGAGCCATCCACCTCAGAGTCACCAGTTTTTGTATGCTGAGCTAACTGTGCCCTTGTATAAAGCTTCTGTTCACAAATGAATACCTGCTCAACATAGTAACTCGTTCAGCAAATGATAATCCCAAGAGAAATCATTTTCTAGCATCACATTTAAAAGATACACCCTCTGTTCCTAATAGATATAAGACGTTTTGGCAGTTCAATTTAAATTGCCAAAACGTCTTACATTTAGAAACAGAGGTAGCATCTACTAAAGGGGCCACAGAAAAAAAATAGGCAATGATTCTGTTCAGCGTTGGATAATACAAATAACCCACAAGATTCACCTACTTCGTATAAAAAGGCACAAAGTGATAAAAAAAATAGCCCAGGTGTGTTAAAATGCAAGTTGAAGGATATAACAGTAGCCCAGGTGTGTTAAAATGCATGCTATCAAAACAACCTGAACTTCCTCAACAACAAAAAAACAGAAAAAGGTGCCTAATTATATAGTACTCCCTCCATCCCAAAATAAGTGTCTCGAGCTTAGTACAAATTTGTACTAGAGCTAGTACAAAGTTGAGACACTTATTTTGGGACGGAGGGAGTATAACATTTGGTTACACAGGTTCCACATGCTTCTCAGGCAGGCTTTGCATGTCAGTCAAAATGTTTGTCCACGCAATTTTATAAATAATATTTCAAAAGAAAACAGATATGTATGGTGAAGTACTTTCACATAGCAAGATAGCATATATGGACAAGGATAATCAGACATATACAGAGAATTCTAAATGTTTTTATACCTACTTTCCATGGTTCAGACGGACTGTCATGTTACGTGAAAAGAAAACTTACATCGCTACTTACCCATAGTTTAACTACATAACTTGAAAACAGAAACAGTCTCACTCAAGCAGGTTTACTGGGCTGAATACTGATTAGAGGTGGCGTCAGCGAGAACATGCATACATAACCGAGTACTTAATAGGTATGATGGGTATAACCGGGCAAATGCTCAGGATGATGGGGCATAACCAGGTGAGTACTCGAAATAGCAGTACAGTAGTTTCACTTCCTTTATCTCTGCGCCAGAAGTTGCTGCTGCCACACCTCTGTACATAGCTGCGGGCTGCTACTGCCTGCTGTTACATATTCCTTACCAGAGGTAGCTGCTGTTGCTTCATCTAGTTTAACTATCCTAATAGGATGAAATGCTGGTTTCAGTTCTACAGGGATACCCATATATAAATACCTATTTATTGAGTTCACGGCAAATTACCTACACGTTGAGCTTGCCGAGCAAGCACCCATTACCAAGTTTTAATGTTTTATAACCATGAATTATAGCACCAGCACTACATGAGTCCACTCGCTTAGTTAAAGCAATAGCATAAACAAATATCTACCATAAATTCCTGCCTTAACTGGATTCCACATACGTTAACTGAAGGGGGCCCACAGAGAAAACGGTAAGAAAAAGGTTGGACATTAAGTTAAACTAGCTAGATAATTTGCAAACAGGTTCTGATTTTCATCCTAAATTTGCTCACAAGGGAGAAAACCATCAAATACAACAGAGTTGGTGTCACAATAGTAACTAGATTTAGTCCTTCTGAAACACAAGAATGACAATATAGGAAGGAGAAGAGAGTATATGTGGTCAAAATATTCACCTTTCTCCCCTCCAAGCAAAGATTACACATGTATAACCTATGCTGATGGAACAAATGTCCCTTTAGCTGATCAATGCTCTTGAACCTGCTTCGGCGCTTTGCTTGTGCTGCCTGACCAACCTGGTCCTCAGCTTTGTCACATACACTACAAGAAAGTCGGCACATCGCCCTTATCATCTTATAATGATCAGCATCATCAAAGTATGCCTTTGTATCCTCATGGTACCAGTACTCCCCCACATTTCCCTCATTTGCCTCAGTGGGCAAAACAGAGAAATCCAAGATCACTTTTGTGTAATCTCCCATGGCCTATAAAATGATCATAGAAGAAGGTGAAATCCCGTGAGTTATGAAGAAAGCATGCATAAAATAAGGCGTCAGTTCATGTTCCAGGAGGCTTTCCAGATACTCCCATGCCCTTTAGGCTGGCACTATGCACAAACTAGAATACTAATCACCTGAATCAGCATAAACATATAAAACTCACATATTTCTCTTTTCCTGACTAGCTATACTGTAAGCACAAATGCACTTAATCGGCAACGCAGTGAAGATGCCATGTACGGAGTATCAACAAAAAAATACAGGAACCATGAAAATCTCAAACCACTTAATCATTGGACAAATCAAAATTCGAATAAAGCGTGCGTACGATAATAAAAACAGCTTCCGGTCCTGCATAATGAAACAGAAGATCAGCTGAAATTCCAACTTTGGGCAAACAAATCCAGAATCGATACAGTGACCTGAGCTCACCTCATCAAGAAACGAGAGGTCAAAGCTATCATACTGGTGTGCTATTACTCAGAATTTTCACCATCCAAACAGTAGAACAAAACTCAGCGCCCATCTAATTAACTAGCTCGAATTCGTTTACTACCCAATCAAAGACCCAAGATCCAACCACGCCACAGATCGATAACCAACCGAACAGATGCAGACCATAGCGGCGAACCTTTGTGACGAAGACGGAGGGGCAATCCGTCTTACAGATGCAGCATAGAGAATCCTCGAGTACGAAGCGAAGGCGGACGACGCAGGTTGAACACACTTCGCGGTGCCCGCACGGCCCGTAAGCCACCCATTCGAGCGCGTCCGCGCACACCGCGCAACTGTCATCCATCTCGGCAGGCGGCAGAGGTTGGTAACAGCGGAAGAGGGTCGGCGGCGGCGGCGGCGGCGGCGGCGAGAAAGGGTTAGGGTGGGGAAGAAGGCGAGAAGGTTCGACACAAGATGAACCGGTTTGGCTTTTTAGGGACTCGTATTTGGCGATTGATGATTCGGTAAGAAAGAAACTTTTTTTTTCATGTGGAATCGGGGCCAAGTCACTGTTTTGACACTAGTTTATCTATCTATCTACTACCCTATAAAAGCATAAAAGGGTGGAGAATCAATTCATCTCACCTATCCAAACTGCTTGATCCAACGATCCAGGTGGCTCCAATGTTTAGCACTAAAACATGATTGGCATTCTCCTCAGGCCGCCGCTAATTACTCCAAAATAACTCGTTGCATCGCTGCTGAAGAGAACACCTCGCACCATCGCACGATCTCTGGTGCCTCCAAAAAAACCTCCCCACGCCTCCACCACCTATCACACTTCCCGCCGTCCCCGCTGCCTTCTAGGCCCTCGCCACCTACGCGTGCTCCCCTGGCATCTCTTGCACCGCCCGGGCACCGGCGTCTCCCTGGCGATCGGAATTTCGCGCACCAACGTGGGATTCCTTCGCCTCCTCGCTCGCTGCCGACGCCGTCGGTGGCTGAGGCGTTGCGGCCCCACCAGATCTGATGTTGAGCGCGCCACCGGAGGACCTCCGCTACTGATCCTCGCCCCCCCCCCCATCCCATGGTTTCC